CTGCGCGCCGCGCCGGACCGGTGAGTGGGGCCGGCCTGCTGCGCACAAAGCCCCGGGCGCGGGCCTCGGGAGACTCCGCCGGCCCCGGGGTGGGGGCTGTGGACCCCCGGGCCGGGGAGTCGCTGGGGAAGAATCCAGGTGACCCGCAGTGGCGCAGTCTTCGCGGCCCGGGCTCCCTGCTGTGTGCTGGGCTCAGCGCCGGGCGCTTTTCGGGACTTGGCTCCATTAAGACCCCGGCGCTTAAGGGGAGGGGTCCCGCATTCGGAGGATGCCGCGGAGCGGCGCAGCCCTCCCCGCCTGACCTTGGGAAAGCTCCTTTACTCCAAGCCTGGACTGCTGTTTCTGCAATAGGGTGGGGGGCGGCGAGGGGGCCGCGCGTGAATACCCACCCAGGGCACTATTGTGAAAGATAATGTGTGTGTGTGATAATAGCTAAAGTGTGAGCACTTGTTATGTAGCAGGCCCTGGGTCTTAAACCTTTGGCATGGATTATCATTAAATTATCATACTGGTGCTGTGAGGTAGCTACCGTAAATTGCATGAAAGAAATCTCTACGAGTAGGAAACTGAAGAATGTAGTCTTAGCCCGATTCTAAAGAATGGATGTTTCTTAGGTATGGTAACATTAAGGAGTAAAATGTTCTTGCAGTACTTGGGAAAGTGGTTATAGCGTAGAGATACATTTATCACACATTTAAAACATAGGCAGGATAATAGGGCCACGCGGTGTGCATTTCAGTGTCAGAAAAGGCCATGTGCCCACCAGGAAAACGTTCAGTGTTAATTCAAAAACAGTTCCTGAGTTAGACGGAGGATTGCTGTGGGAGTTGGGGCCCAGAAAGAGACAAAGAGTTGAGAGGAAGGATTCTGAAGGCCTGGAGGGGGTTGAAGAGGAGGAGTACCATCCACCCTCCCTCTCTCAGCAGCACTCTGGACCAGGATTCCATCCTTCCCTGAGAGACCAGAGTGGGGTGGAAGGGGTGCCTAAGGCTGATATCAGGTTGTCCCTATTTCTCTGCAAGCCAGGACAAAAGTATTCACATGTAATGCCAGTCCCATACTAGGCCTCCTAAAGTGTCACTGTCCCTTTTCATGAGCCTGCAGTTCTTATAATGTGTTTCCAGGAGATGGGAATGGTTAACAACCAACCCTCCAGGTTGACAAGACACTTGAAATACTAAGGCCTAACTGATACAATGAAGGATAGTGTTTGGAATCGCACTCACTTTTTAGAGAAGCAGTGGGGGGCGGGGGGGTAGAGGGTGTTTTGGGTTTCAGTTTGAAATGAGGAGTGCTGGAAGGCTTTGGTCCCTGAGAGGAAGAGGAAAGCAGACAAGGCCTAGCAGTGGTGGTGAACCTATGGCACATGTGTTACTGTATTTTTCTTTCAAGACAAACACAGTAATGTATGAATTGCTTTTTCTAAACTCAAACCTCAGTATTCAGGTTTAATTGCGGTGTTGGCACTTTGCAATAAGTAAATGGGTTTTGGGTTATAGTTTGGCACTTGGTCTCTGAAAGGTTCGCCATCCCTGGCCCAGAGGTTGCACTGGGAGAAGAGCAGGGAGAAGAGGAGCTGGGCACTTCAGCACACCTGCAGGAAACCTGGCTGACTTGTTCCCAACCACCAAGAAGGCACCTGCCTTCTAAGTTCTTTCCTAAGTGTTGTGGAAGATCAGGGGCAAGACTTGGACGAACCTTTATGACGAGTGAGCTTGCTAGGGAAGGATGTTTTATTTTGTTTTGAACCAGGCCTGGAAGAAGAAGGTATTTGGGTACATAGTGGTGGTGAAGGTGTCAAATACCATGCTCAGTGGAAAGCAGGTGCTCTGGAGAGATAGTTTGGGATTTGACTTCTTCTCTATGCAGTTTATTAGCTTTGTGTTTCTTTTCTTCTTCTTTTGTGTGTGTGTCTGTGTTTGTGTATAAACTAATGGGTTTTTTTCCAAATACCTAGCAGGAGCGCAACAAGTACTGTCACTGTTTTCCCTGTCCATGGGACATTCATTCAACAAATGTAGGCCGAGCACCCGTCATGTGCTGAGTCATACGTTACATGCTGAGTATATAGAGATGAGTCAGAAATTATGTATTCCCTTAGGAATTTCCCAGTCGCTGGGGGAGACAGACACAAAGAACAAATTAAAATATGTACATGTGTGGGGTGCTACTATGCAGGCATATATGATTGTCAGTGGGCTCATAGAAGAGTAGTCCACTCATTCCTCAGGGACACAGGGCCAGTATTCTGACAACTGTGAGACCTCAAATGGAGGTTATGAGTGCTGCATTATGTTTTAGCTTGCATTTATTTATTTATTTTCGAGACAGGGTTTTTCTGTATAGTTCAGGCTGTCCTCAAACTCAGTCCTCCTGAGTAAGCCTTCAGAGTGCTGGGATTACATGCCCAGCTCTAGCTTTTCTTTCTTTTACCCTATCTTGTGTTTTTTTTTTTTTTTTTTGTCTTTTTGAGACAGGGTCTCACTGTGCAGTTCAGGCTGGGCTTGAGCTCACTTTGTAGCTGAGGCTGATCTCTAACTCACAACAACCCTCCTGCCTCAGCCTCCCCAGTGCTGGGATTACAGGCGTGCGCCACCACGCCCGGCTACCCTATCTTGTTTTTGCCCTGATATGCTCCCTTTAAGAAAATCTGTTTACAGTGTGTGCATAATTTGTAACTTGCTTCAAATTTATTTTAGAAAGAAGCTATTATAAATAAAATTTAAAAACAGCCTGGGAGGTAATTGAGGAAGGCTTCAGAAAAATTACATGGAAGGCCTGTTGTGGTGGTGCATGCCTGTAATCCCAGCACTCTGGAAGCTGAGGCAGGAGGATCATTCTGAGTTTGAGGCTAGCCTGGGCTACAAAGTGAGTTCAAGCCCAGCCTGAACTGCATAGAGAAACCCTGTCTCAAAAAACAAAAAAAAAGAAAAAGAAAGAAAAATTACATGGAAACTGGCCCTCATGGGATGAAAAATGGGCCCTGGGTGGACCTTGGAGTAAAGATTCCAGCCAGAGAGTGGAAGCCAAGTATACACGGAGGCATGAGAGTGCAGCAGATGCAAGGATGTGAAGGTGAGTTTGGTCTGGTGAGGTTGAAAATTACAGGAGAGGGTGGCGGGCTGGGTGGAGAGGTGCTGTAATCAGGCCAGATCCACAAAGGCCTTCAAATACCTTTAGAGGAGTTTGGATTTGTGTTGTCACTTAGGCAGAGAGGCAGATGTCAGAGGGGCACAAGCAGCAAGCACCGTGGCATGATAACAGTGTTTAGGAGGATCCCTGCCTGTTGGCGTGGAAGGTGGGCTGGGCTTTGGGGAGATTGTTTTAGAGATTAGGGTCCGACCTCAGAAATGAACAGTGAGAGTAGAAAGGGAAGGAGCAGATACTGAGGTAAAACCTGTAACCTGTCTTGCTAACTCGTTGCACGTGCTGAAGAAAGTGCTGAGTATTCTGCTTTGGGGAATCAAGTTGACTGGCTTAAGTCAGTAGTCATCAGGAGACTTGGAAGTGAGGGAATAGTTTTGGGTACGAAGATTGGAAGTTTCTGGGGTGCCCACTTTGGACAGCTAGATAGAGGTGGGTGGTGGATAATTGGTAATTGGGGTTTGATGCTAAGGAGAGGATGGGGCCAGGGAGAGAGGTTCTTCCTGACACCCCCCTCGCCCCCCTCTTTTTTTTAACACTTACCGAATGTCTGTTGTATGCAAAAGATACACAAAGCATACAGTAGTTCCAAGCCCCCAGGAGGGAGATTCTTGAGGATGTGGATGGGCTGCAGTGACGAATACTTCTGAGTGCTCCTGTACTGGGTAAATGCTCGGGACCCCTGGATGGAGCAGATCTGAGATCTGTAGCTGAAGTGGTGGGAGTGCAGAGAATGTCCTTGGTAAGAGGCAGCTGCAGTGGGAACACCTACTGAAGGCACTATCTGCATTTCAGAAGTGCTTTCTTCAGGGGATACTTTACTACTAATGATCCCAAAGGCATTTCAGGGAAGCTGCAGGGAATTCCCCCAGTGGTTTAAGATGGAGCTGGGGGAAGGGAGAGGCAGGAAGGAGTCAGGACTTTAAGAACCCTCTCTGGCATATAGAGGGCTCTGGGAAGGAGGGAGGACTGTAGTGGAAGACAGGGGCCCTTGCCTTAAACACAAGGCTGATTCTGCTCACAGTCACACTCAGACACAGATGGTAGAAATAAACACTGTGCAGTTCCATGGCCTGTGGAGTGGATGGGGAAGTAGAAGGGGAGGGAATGCATCAGAGGAAGCAAGTTCAGTGTTAGGTTTAAGACTAGAAAGCTTTCTAGAAGGAAGGTGGAGGGGCAAAGAGAACGTCAGGGAGTGGCCATCAGGGCAGCCGGGTCTGAGCATGTGAGGACAAAATGATGCAGAACCTGCCTGGCAAGTGCAAGGTCATGAAATCAATTTCTGGTACCCCCCACCAAAAAAACCCAAAATGAGACCCTGAAGTCATCACAGGTGT